CAGTTTCTGTGCCTGCTTTTACAGTCTCTTCCTCTGCCTTGTCAGTGTTGTGAACAACAGTTTCTCTGTGATCCTCTGCAGTTTCCTCTGAGCTTATGTTAACACTCTGTCCCTCTCCAGTGGGAATTACAGCACCCTTTTGTTGTCCATCACCATTAGGATCATGAACTTCTGACCTTTTAGTATCAGTATCCTGTTCCCTGATCTCCAGACCTCCCTTTTTCTTTGTAACCACTCTCCTGTAGGACTCAACTTCCCTCGGACATGAGACACTATTGCGAGGTGACTTCCCTTTCCCATTAAGTTTTGACAACAAGCCATTTTGGTTCAAAGAACCACGCGTGTGCTTGGATCCTTTAACAACGAGGACATTCTTGACTGTCCTCTTACTGGGCTTGCTGACAACAGTCCTCTGGGTCGCTTTGGCTGCCTGTTTCTTGTCTATGGCCTTCCTGATCTCGCCAATCGCTTTGAGCAAGTTGACTGTTTGCCTCCTAGTCGTGGAAGCTTTCACCCTCCTAACATTTTGCTTTTTGGATGCACAAGATGACTTCTTGGGTGCTTTGGGAGTGTGAGGCATAGCTGAAGCCAGTGAGGGTGAGGGAGGAGGAGTTCAGGATAGCCGGCATGGGAAACAGTATAAAGATGACGCTGGGCAACAGTACTTTTAAGATCTTTCATGTAATGTTCCCTGTTTCAAGTAAGATCACATTGACATTTTTCCACTGATGACATATGGATGTATGGCTACCTGTGGAAAGGACAATTCATTATCAAATTATGTAGCATGATGCAGCATCTTATTATGTTTATTAAAGACCCCTTAAATCAATATTGGTGTACGTGGCTTGTGGTCCATATTTGTAGGCTTTGAAGACAACTATATATTAGTGTACTCCTAAAATTTGACAAAATTCACTTCAAAACTATTGATGTCGCAATCAGCTTCCTAGTTCAGGTGTCATGGTCAGGGAGTCGTACCACAGTAGTTCATTTAACAGAAATCATATCACATTTCTGAAGTGGGAAAAGTAAATTACACAAGACATCACAATACACACCATGGCATGTGTTAGAAGTTTTGAAAAGTCAAGCCGTTTATTCATTTAATTATATTTCAGCATAAACATATTGCTAGACAGTCACAGTAGTGACCATAATCTAGCTAACATTTGTAAATAATTTAAGGCTGAAATGTTGCAGGGATATACTGTACATTCAAATTATTTTTCATAATGTACTTTAAACCGTATTACAAAATATTGTCAGAAAGATATTAGTCCTGCTGCTGTTGTTGATAAATAACAATGGTGATGTTTTACAAGACAAGTACGGGAAAAATGCACAATAATGCTACTGTGAAATGTTGGTACACTAAAGGAAATATTATGCTGCCTTTAGGTACAATGTATTCAGTGCACAAACACATGAGCTAATTGCTATATGCTAATTAGTCAAATCCTCATGCCTACCAAAAAGTACCATGGTATTACAGGGTTTTTAAAAAGTATTGTTACCATAGCTTTTGGACACTGGCATGTTAAATACCATGGTTTATGACTACGGTAATAATTAAGTATCATGCTTCTTTTTATAAGGGATACTCAAACTTCCTACATTTCCATGTTTATTTGGTTCAGCTGTTTGTTTAAGTGTCAACTGTGTATATGAGGCTCGAAGTGTCCCTCAAGTGAAACAAGTGTTTTGGCACTTGTCATGAGTAAAATGTAAATACAAATTAGGTAAGTGTGAGGTATGTTTGTTCTGACAAGTAGATCTAAAGACACTCACAGAAGTTTATACACTGGCTGTGTTTCAAACCTAGTGAGCTCCCTACTACACCTACACAGCATTTTTGTGCGTCATAGGCGCGTGCAAAATTGAGTCAGGCGCCTAGATGCCCAAAAATGCTGTCTAAGAAGGGAACTAACTAGGTTTTGTGACAGCCGTTGTGGATGATTAATCGCTTAACGTTCTCACACGCTTATCTCTAACAACAGTTCGTTTCAGTTTCTATAAACCGCTCTAACTTAAAAACTTTCAAACGTAATACGAAGCAAATAATAGAACAAGGGGGCTTTAATCCGTGGGTTGCTGCATTGTTATGAACACTTTGAAGGGAGTTGAAATACTTTACATACCGGAGAGACAGATGCACTGTCTGAGGGCTAATAATATTCCCCGCCTGTACAACACGACCGATCCTTCAGCATTTCTCTTCGATGGATCTTCCCTAGGCACGCGTGAACATGGTCTTCACAGCGTATCTTTGAGCTGTAACACTGACATGCTGCCACAGAGACCAAAGCACCGGATAAAAGGCAAATCCTTCTTATGTCAAGCCATTGACGGCAGCCCTCTGCCAGACTCGACCTACACTCTCCAGTCAACTTCAGGATATTTAATGGACGTCGGCGTGAGGCGGCGGGAAAACCCGGACTGGATTTCTGTTCTCAGGATAGTCTGTGCAGAAATCAGTCTTCTTCTTCTTCTTCTTCTTCTTTCCAGTTTAACGGCGGTTGGCATCCAGCTTATTGGTGCATTACCGCCCCCTTCTGCTCCGGAGTGTGGATCAGATAATAGTTATCTATTCCCATTTCCCCCTAAAACTTACACATCACTCACATTGTCCCCTCACATTAATATCCACACACACATCACACATCAAAT